GCTGCTGCTGCTGCTGCTGCTGCTGCTGCTGCTGCTGCTGCTGCTGCTGCTGCTGCTGCTGCTGCTCTTCTGTGTCTGTCTGCACTCTCTTATAAATCCATATTGTTTTGTCTCTGCTGCACGTCGCCAAGAAACAACCCGAGCGGCTCCACCCCACCCCCTTCACCTGCACCCAAACCCTAAACCCTAAACCCTAAACCCTAAACCCTAAACCCTAAACCCTAAACCCTAAACCCTAGAGGGTCAAGGAGCAAAGGGTCGGCTGCTGGCTGCTGCAATCCATGCTAAGCCCTCAAGCAAGAGCTGTAACGAAAAGAAAGGAACTCAAACCCTAAACCCTAAACCCTAAACCCTAAAACCCTAAACCCTAAACCCTAAACCCTAACCTCGTGTTCATGTCCAACGAGGGTTTGCAGCAGCCGAATTTGTATTTTATTTTCTCTCAAGGCAGTTGCTGCATCCCTCTCCTCTTCCTGCTGCTGCTCCCCCTCCCCCTCCCGCTGCTGCTGCTGCTGCTGCTGCTGCTGCTGCTGCTGCTGCTGCTGCTGCTGCACTAACCACACAGATGCTGTAGCATCAAAGGAAGCAGCAGCAAGCAGAGAACCATCAGGGCTCCAGCAGAGAGAGCGAACCGCGCGGCTGTGAACCCCTTCTCCTGCTGTACCCTGCTCACAAACCCTAAACCCTAAACCCTAAACCCTAAACCCTAAACCCTAAACCCTAGGGTTTGAGAGTTAAACCCGTGAAAAAATACTCTGTTCTCAAACCCTAAACCCTAAACCCTAAACCCTAAATCCAAGAATTTGCATAAAGTCACAACGCCGTACTCGGCTCACAAACCCTAAACCCTAAACCCTAAACCCTAAACCCTAAACCCTAGCGGGGGCTTACCAGGCATCTCCACCCCGCAGAAGTATCTCTTGACGCTGCACACAAAAAAAAGAAAAAAAAATAAAAATAAATAAAAAATAAAAATAAAAGAGGAGACAGCAACAGAGACAACACAAAGACAGAGAAAAAGGAGACAGATACAAGCGCACAGCAACACATATAAGAAACAGAAACAGAGACTAGGGTTTAGGGTTTAGGGTTTAGGGTTTAGGGTTTAGGGTTTACGGCCCCAGAGGTGTATGAGCCCGTCTGCGCCTGCTGAGGCTAGGAGTTTAGGGTTTAGGGTTTAGGGTTTAGGGTTTAGGGTTTACGGCCCCAGAGGTGTATGAGTCCGTCTGCGCCTGCTGAGGCTAGGAGTTTAGGGTTTAGGGTTTAGGGTTTAGGGTTTAGGGTTTACGGCC